CCCATATTTTATTATGAAAAGGCTACAAAGCGAATTGATGTCCAACAAAATATCGTAAAAGTACGACTGTGAAATATCTGTTGTGTTTTTATACTGTTCATTAATGCTATTATAATGAACAATAATAGATATGTAATATGACGTGTGTATTAATAATAATTAATATCTATTCATAGGTAATACGTAGGTATCTCACTAAATAATAAAATGTATTGCTTAATGCTAATAAATTAAGATTTAAGCGTATTATCTGCTCAGTAGTTCGTATAAGTACTAATATTTAATATAATATAATATTATTGTTATTCCTTTACAACATGTTTTGTTATTGTTTTTCCGATTCATCTGTAATCCGCATATACATATTATGAATTAATAATAATTATCACATATTAATTATGATATAGCATTGCCGTGAACGTATTTATAAGGTTGTATGTCTAAGAATATACATAACCATAGTACTGAACAACAACTAAACACGTGCATTACCAAGTATATTCAACACATCAAGTGCATCCCCAGCAACGTTATACTAAATATTAATATTATTATTATTATTGAGAATGCATTTCAGTTAAATGGAGTATTGTAATTCATATTATACGTTAGTAATTACTAATTAATATACTACCTCAAATTAGTAAAACCGTTATTTTTTCTTCTGTCATACACATCAGTCCGATTGAATTTTTGTTAGGTTAGGTATAAAGTTTATCCACACAATATATTATAGTCGAACACATGCCTCGCCGTCTTAGCACTATTATTAGATAAACAAATCTACATCTAGGAGCAATCAATATTACCGGTTCACCTTTTTATACCATCCGGCACATCATCTGTTAATCTATTCGTTAGTTTATCCGGCAATAAAAATGTCTGTTGGTCGGAGACCGAGAAACAATGATATCTTTAGGTTAGGCTAGGTTATGTTATGTTAAGTTATATAGTAATATATAATTAAAATTAAACTGATAAATTTGAATATGTATACCTGCATAAATCTTGGTTTCTTAATTCGTAATATGAAAGAATTTAACAACGAGCTGTCTTAAAATATTTTACTACTATTTTACGTAATAGTTAGTCCGATATTAGAGCTCTGTTCTATTTTTTGGAATAACTCACAAATCAATCTTATTGAACCCGCGAGAGTGTTCAAAGAAGGTTTTTTTCATTTTATCGTTTATAAGATAAAATCACGATGTGTAAACTTCAATTCTTCAGCAACTATTTCTTTATCATCAATACAATCTAGCCTCAATTTACATTATCTTGAGTCTAGACTGAAACCTATGGATATTTGTTTCATGATAAAATTAATAAAGGCTATATAGCTTGTCCAGATTTATTACAAGATGTAATAAATTTAATTAAATATCCTTAAATTTTAATGGTCCTCAATATAATTCTCGATATTGTCATACGTTTTCAATTCCATTTCATAGTTCCTCTTATGTCAATAATAATCTCTTGGATCGTATTGTCAGAGAATGAATGATTTAAAGGACTTTGATTTGTTTTATACATGATATTATTATTACATTTGACAAGCGTAGTTTCCATAAAATATTATTGAAATCTGTTTTACTCTATATTTACTCATTTGTAATTATTGAATTACTATTAATATTAGTATTTAAAATTACATATTATAATGTATTATTTTATACTCTTTTAATACCATTTTATGTATAGTTAAATTCTATTAATGCAAATAATTTACTTACACTGTACTTGATCCTTACAGGAGTTTATAAATAAATAATAATAATAATAATTATATTGAGCGGACACGTGCGTAGGGCCACCAAAATGTGCGAATACATGTTATTGTAAAAAGTAAATTCATTTTATCATTTAATATTTTTATAATTTTAACGAGAAAACGGCTTTACAGAAATTCAAGCGTGCAGAAATGTTTTAAATATCTTTATATTGTTTATTACATAGGTGTAATATAAAAAAAATGTTTTTAGTTGTTAAATATGTTTTTAATCGCTTAATTTATGGTTTAAGACTATTAGTTAATAAGAGTAATAAAAATGATTTTACATTTTTATCTAATTATAAAACTTTTCTACAAACTTCTGTACAAAATATCTAAATTTCAGCATGTCTACGGAGTAAAAATACTGAACTCTTTCCATATTATGTGTAAATGTGTAATAGGTACAGAGAATACTCAAGTAATAACATTTGATAATTCTTCTTAGACGACCAAATAAAATGCTTCAGATATCAATATACAAGTAAACAATCGTACAACCACAGCAAAATATTAAATAAATGGATTGCGATAAATCAATGCTTGACACTAGGCCATTGCAGCATCAATGGACGGGAGTAATGGAAATGCAGATCCATCAGTGCGGAAATTAACACAAAAATGTAAAAGAAATAAAACATTACATCACACAGAAAACATATTAATAGAAAATTGTAAGTAAATTCGATGTTATAGAACTAGGTTACGTACGGTCATTCCATAGGCGAAAATGGGCCACTTTTTTGCTGGGAGGTGGGCACTCAATTAAAAATTTGGTCACTACTTTGCTTTACAGTTGTACAGTTAGTTTCGAGTATATCTCGTAATTTAGAAGGTCTCTGTAATGGATGTGTTAAACTTGAATTACAATAGAGATGTCTATCATTTTCGTAATTTAAGAAACAAATGTTCGTATTTTTTTCCCGATTATTTTAAAAATGATTTAAATGTTGTTGCTCTTGACCTTCCAAAGTATAAATTCGATTCGATTTGCTTCCAGAAGTCTCCCTCAAAGTTGATGATCAGCACATAATTTTCACTATAAAAAGTGTTTTCTCGTGTCTGCTTTTTATCTCTTAGGTGGCTAGGAATCACATAAACTTTGAAACAAAAACAAAATTTTAAATAATTTTTTTTCAAATATAATATTTATTTTCATTTTCAAAATGATCGTGAATCAATTATATATATATTTAGTACTTACTTCATAATGACTTAATTTAGGGTATAAGTTAGTTCTAATACCCCCTTCACTTCAATGGGTCATACTTATCTCACACACAATTTTGTTATGGGTTATAAAAAACCGAGAAATGCAGTCGTCTTTCTCAAGCGCGTTATAACTGCAGTAAACATTATGTAATCCTTAAAATAAAATGCAACCTTCCGGACTAAATATCTTCAGCTCTCAATTGCCGTTTCCCTAACTCGATCAAAACTATAACCAATCTCATGATATGACACCAACTATATCATTCATAAAACTTCCTATATATGATTATAAAAATTTCTTAAGTATACTTCCTAAGTATAAGATTTTATTATATAGCTAACTATAATAAAACCCCCAACAAACCAAAACATTGACAATTTGTACAATAATTCCACAAATAATAACATTTTTTGTAAAACACTTTCGATATTGCTTTCAAATTTAAAATTGCGTGTTTTATAAAATGTGTAGATCATTAACAATTGTTTGTACAAAAACACAAGGTATAGAGCCCCGAGAATCTAAGACATACAAATTTTAAAATGCTGTATTGTAAATGCGTACAGTTTGTATTTTTAGTTTTTGAGCGAAGCGATTTTTAGAGTGCTTTTTTTATTTATTTTTTATGGTTTGTGCATTTGAGAGATAAAAATTTAAAATTCCCTATGATTTTAATAAATGACAGGAAAAACAAACAAAAATTATAGAATTTTTATGCGAAACCAGTTTTCAAAAAAATCGATTTAGGCTTTTAGTAAATCTCTAAAGAAAATCACCATGTGGTATCTCAAAAATGTAATACAAGGTTCCCCAGAAGTTGTTTTAACAACAATCAAAAAATATAAAAGGCAAATAGGCACAATTTTTAACAGCATTGAAAGTTTAAAATTTGACTAAAATTAGTCGAAATCTCGTAAATTTGCAAATTATTGTAAAGTTACAAATTTATAAAACTCTCTGTTTTTATATCTAAGGATCGAACATTTAAAACAAGGTATCTTAAAGTATATCATACTGTCACCAAAAAATATAAAACTAAATTTACAGTTTTTTTTTATTGCTAATTAAGTTCAAATATATATGAAATTAGATATTCAAACGAAGATTGACAATCTTAGTCATTTTGTTGTAATTTTTCCATCCACAATAGTTTTTCATATACTATGACATTATATCACTGAATCCACATTTAACACCATCATTACAGTGAGTTACTGACCCTCTTGTAACCTACTGTACAACAGAGAGGTATCCACCTTTTTTATATTTTATTCAATATTTTTTAAGCAGTATTTTTTGTTAAAACGTCGTCAATTTTATACTGTACCTACTAATTTTCTCACCGGGACTAGAGTAAACTTTAAATATCCATTTTCTGTTATCGCAATTTCATCGGATAAAGGAATATTTATTCTAATAAACTGGTTATCAATGTATGCTCTTAATTTGTCCAATATCCCTACTCAATTTTTTTCATTTATGTACAATACCTAACAACAAAATATACAAACGCATGCTAAATACAATTGTTATGAGGCATGCATTTTATGCACTCACATTGTCCCAACCTTTCTGGTCAAATACGAAAAAAACTAGAAGACTTCAGGCCTATTTATAATAAATACATGATTATTAATAATGATATTTATTATTGTAAAAATCACAACCTCATAAAGCCTGACTCCTAACCGTAAAGATTCAGAAATTAAATCCTCCCAATGAAACCAAAGATACCCCCCACAGGTCACAAAAGATAAATAATAGTAATAATTGCACGTTGTAAATGATATGACGCTAAACAATAATACGTAATAACAATATAATATCATCGTGGTCGTATGTTCCGGGCGGCCCGTGCACGCGCCCCGATATCAGCGACGTAACAACGTTGTCAGCCGCATGTCCGCGTGCGTATCGTATAATATTATTATTGTTGGTGAACAACGGCGGCGTCACGCGCGCCGAGACGAGACCACTAATCGCACACTTAGCGGCCGTCGTCACGCGCATCAACCGCGTCGCTGCCGCCGCGCCGCCGCCGCCGCCGCCGCCCTGATCGGCTGTCGTATAAAGAGCGCTCGCTGGTCGCCTGCAGCTGCACAAACGTCGTTAAACCCGCGACGCGAAGACACTTTGTTGAAAACATAATACTATATTATTAATTTACGATATTATCGCGTACGACTTTTACGTTTCCGTTTAACGATAAATCATCGTATTAGTAACTTTTTGAATTCAATATATTATAAATTCGTCTCTCGAACGTGTCATCGCCGGACCAACACAATCAACTATATTACATTATATCATCGTCGTAATTATGCCGTGCCACGAAGTTGGACAGACCGCCGTGCAACAGTACCACGACTACGACGACGACAGATCGTCCCGCAAAACGTTCGACTCCGACTCTGACTGCTCCGGGTCCGACGAGACTGCCTCCGCGATGTCACCCATCGCGGTTCACTCCCGCAGCAGGGGCAAGTGGCTGAAGACGCTACGGACGGTCATAGACAGGATGGAAGGCAGCAGCGGTGGACGCCGGCAGCGACAGGTCAAGACCATACTCAGGCCACCGACCACATATGTATTCGTGATCGGCATGTCTGGACTACCGTCCAAGGTGGCCGTCTACCCGAGACGGATGTAAGGAGACTCGTAAGGAAGTGGACGCCTGACTGAGTAAACGATCCGACAAGATGTGATGAAATATTACAAAATCATCATTATTTTGTCGTTCTTTTCATATCGGTTTATTTTTCTTGTGATTTTGACCCGATAATATTATGATCGTAAATTGATTTTGTGACTGAAAATAATAACTATATATTGTAACCATTGACGTTTCAAATAATTATGTATATAGGTATACGATAATTTCAATATTTTCAAGATGTTTTTCATAATTTGTTCATTTATACACGTAATTGAAAATGTTTTTTGTCATTCGTTTCCAATGAAGATAATTTTATACAATTTTTTAAAATTTTATAAACGCTTTTGATACGATTATATAATTAAATAACTATGTATGGGGCACGTTGCGCGCGTACTTATCAAATGTATGTGAAAAAGAGAGATTTGTAATACTGAAAAAGCGGACCTAACTTCCATGTAAATATATATCTATAATTTTACCACGTGATATAAACATGTCTTGTAAATTATAATTAAATTATTGTTGTCGACAAAAATGACACAATTAAAATACATTTTCAGTATGATATGAAATTGATTGTTTTTTTTCAACTTTTAATATCCTAGGTGTATTACTATAATTCACGGTACAATATATTTATAGGTTATATATATATATCAATTTTTTCATGTTAATTTTAATGAATAACAGATGTAGCGTAATTCAATAAAATACTACGAAAGATGCGCCATGGATTTTGTGTGTCTCATATTATATAATCAAATCAAATACTGGGTATTTCAAATGATATTATATATTTTAAGCCCAAGAGACGAAATGAAATGAAATTGTAATTACTTGAGTGTACATTATTTTTCACGATCTACTGATACATACTTTGTTGGTACAACTGCGGCAGGTAACATTTCACTAGGTAACTAAGATTAGGCGTTTGATTTTGTGATAGAAACGGAAATTAAAAAAACAATATAAAAACAAATGTTTCAATGAAATGTACATACTTAATATTTATATATATTATATATGAGAACTGTGCGTTACATTATATTAAACACAATTGATTTTTGTTTAGAAACTTAGAGTCTTAGAATTACAGTGTTTCTGTAACACGCAATATGAAGTCAAATCGTAGATATCGCGTGTCCACGAAAACAGGTAAAACAGAAAAAGTGAAGTTGTAAAAAAGTTAAGAAGTTAAAAAATTGTAAGTCATAAGAAACTGTCCCTCAAACAGAACTCAAAAATATTTTTAGGGTACTGAGTAATATAAGTAACTAAGTTACAGAGTGGACCCCGAGAGGACACACGCAGTACAGTTTGACGAACATTTTCCGATCACGTGCCAACATTTTTTTAATCAGTTTAAAAAATATATGCACGTGCCAGTAACAATATGCTCATAGTTGCAGGGGTACACAATATTTCTTCAGGGTGATGGAGCTTTAAAAAAAATGACTATCATTATTTTAGTATCAGTTGTGTATTTTGTTAGTTTTGATTAATATTTCAATAAGACAAATTATTGTTTCATCCAACGATGTATAGTTCTTCTGTTTTTATTTGAAATAATTCGTTGTGGAAAACAAACTTTTAAGTAAGTACCTACAAAATATTATGTCTGGAAGCAGTGAGTTCCAAAAGTTTATAATTACTAATTTTATTTTCTAGAAATATTACAGAATTTGTTTGCAATTTTTTTTTCATTAAATACAAGTTTCAACATTGAAATAAACATATTTTCACGTGCCATTGAAATGTAGCCAACGTGTCATAGGTTCGCCATTCCTGGTACCTATATAGAAATGCACGTGTTTTGTTAGTTTTCAAAGCGTATTATAAGTAATATAATGTTATACAAGGTTAGATGATTCAATAATTGTATCGACTATGTCCTATGATATATATAATAGTAAATGTTTAACCAATACTTAGACTTGAAGACAGTCTTGAAGTATTTAGAATGTATAAAGTGCGTGTATGCTTAAAAATTAAAATATTATATTGTTTTATCGTGTATACATTTCAACTATCAAGTATCAATAAACTGTTATAATGATTTTTTATTTGTTAAGAATATAATAGTTATGCAGGCGTAGTATAGTCACTTCAATATTAAGGAGTTAGAATAAAATAATTTAGAAAAAAAATTCACGCAAAGAAGCTCCTGCGGTACGTGATGTGTAACAAACAATATAAAGTACCATAACTAAAAAGTACAGTATACATTTTTATCTAAAAAATATAAAAATCTAAAACAAAACTCTAGGTATAGTATGCGTTTAAGGTTTAACACATGCAGTGGCATTGAAATCTCTATCACACACATGACACCACATACGATATCCCCCGCCTAAACGAATTATAATCATTGAAAACTTTACGAAATCCTGATCAAAATGAATCTCATAAATTTACCATAATTAATATAGATCAATTATTATTGAGACAATATACAACTGCAAGGTTTATAAATTAATTGCATATTTAAATTATTTAATTATTAGTAGTATACACGTATAATTTCAACTCAATTACTAAAAGTCAATGACCAACAACCCTGAAATTTTTGTTCGGAAAAAAAATCAATATCAAAATCAAAACTGTTAGAATAAATTATGGTGAAATTATTTTCGCAAATGACGATAAAGTATATAATTAATATTTCATTTTTATATAATTATAATATCATATTATGTATTGTGGTTATGATTCTAGGGTCAAAAAACTCATTCAACGTATTTTGTTTTAATAACAGTAATTTTTAAAAGCCGTTACACATAATTTATTATTTCTTTTTTAAGGTAAATGTATATGAAAAAATGTGTTCTGATGTCGCGAAAAATGTTCAAATTTGTATTGAAATATGTTCCGGTTTTCTACGAATTCAGTACAGACATTTTTCGAAAATTACATCAAGTTTAGAATAGGTAAACAAAAGTTTTCAGTTATTGTTGAACAAGAAACTTGTCTTAGGAGAATTTCATTTTTATTCAGCGTTAGTCAGAATTGTATGAAAAAATATTATCTTCAGAAGTAGTTCGGATGAGTATAATAGTATCGTGCAATGAAAATAATCGGTTAGGTAATATAATATAATATTTACATATGTTTTACCAATGTTGTTCCGTGATATACCAATGACGTGCAATTTGAACGTCATAGTATTGAGTCAATGTTTTTTTTTTATCCCCGTATTAATTTTTTTTTCAATAATTCATATTAATGCGCGTTGCACCGTTGCACGTGCACGTTTCTTCATTTAAATGCTTGTATTATACCGTCAGTTGTCACGTTGTTACCGATTAGTATGATTTTGATTAATACGCATTTACAATGTATAAGGTGAACGTTTCTAATCCATTTTTGTCGTTAAAAATGCTCTTTACTGAAATATTGATTTTGTTTTTTAAAATCAACCAAATTCGATCAGTTTTTTTTTAATCAATATGGGGAAATATTCTTTTGCTTGCATTGAACTCTGTTTTTCAATATTTTAATTCCAAATTTTACTATAGGTCTATGAAAAAAACAATTTTACAAATTATTTTATATCATTATTTGAAATAAAATAAAATTTTAGACTTCAATTCGGGCTGTAGAAATTCTTTTAATTTCGGATAAAAGAACTGCAGTTAAAAAAAATCTGACGATTTTGTGAGGCTTTATAGAGTTTTACTTGTGAAGTCATTTTTGTTAATATTTTTAACAGGACAGTAGAATAATGGATAAGTATTATAATTAAGTTTAAAATGGCAACTAAAATATAAAATTATTCATACATTTTATAGAATGGCGAAAAATTTTGAAATTTAACAACTGGCGCTCTTACCAAATGGACATTAATAACTGTATTATCATGCCTATAAAAATCGGTTACAATTATCTCAATCGTTAATTTGTATAGATAACACGATGATAAAATAAAATATTTTTCTTTTTTTTAGGATGAGACGAAGCAAAACCATAATTTTGAAAGGTTTGAATAAAAATTATAGAATAATTAATTTCAATTAAGATAAGAATAGGCAAATACTAACCATAGAATTGTTTACGAAGACACAAATTTTTCATATAGTACTGTACCTGAATATTATTGAACTTATACAATTTACTCCATACTAGTTCGGTAGAAATTCCACGTAACAGTCGTGGACATGGATTTTGGTTTACACATATTGTATTAACTTTGGTCGTGAACTCGATATAACTTATTTTACCATTTGTGTTTGATTTGGAACCTTTTTTGGAATGTTAAAATGAATACTTATAGATATACATTTATTCAGGCCCTTTTCTCAACAATATTTGCTATAAGACTTTATTTGTTTGCTATTCAAATAATGATATAACTATTTTGTTTTACATTTTTAAAAATTGTTTTCATTAGATATTGTTTGTTGATCTACCGAAGACTACGACTAATTTTTTGTAGGACTGTAATATTTCTAACTAAACCTTTCAATAAAAGTATTCTTGCACAAGTCGCGGTGACCGGAGAACAAGTGCTGCCATCCCCCACCCCCGGGGCATGGCAGAAACCTACGGGTGCCCCATTCGAAATTCTGCCAAAAAAACAAACACACACGTGTTCCCCCCTACCGTCCCAAAATATACAATACAAACCTACAATACAATCCAACAATACCTACTACAGCTAATGGCATCAGTTGCCGGGCTTAAGATCAATAAAAAAAAAAAAGTATTCTCGGATCAGTTGCTTGTCTTTATAAGCACCGAAAAACGAAGGGGCATATTTGTGTCCGGAAATTCATTCGTCCCCTTTATAATATAATGTAGGTCATGTCCGCAAATCACACAATATGGTTTTCATAGTTATATTCACAACTAGGAAACATCGGTACACGTTTATTGGTCTACGGTTCATGCGGCACATGTATGCACACGTGAAGTGGCATGCATTCGAAAACCATGTCCGCCCTCCTGATCGTGGGTAGAAACGCATCAGAGAGGGTGGTTTCGATTTAACGTGCGTATCGCCGGGAACTTAGTTTACTCGTATACATGCCGCGATACAACGTGTGTATCGTATATCGCATAATATCTATGATTATTATACGACTTAGGTATACCACCATTTAACGTGATCGGTGATCACATTGCAGGTATCCAGTAAACGTGTTCCGAATATTATTAGATATTAGAATTTAATTAACAGTTTGTTATCAACAATATTCGAATCATATATTATAATAATATTTAATATATAAGAAATAATAACGGGCTAAGTGGGTTGGAGAGTCCAGCAGTGACTTTTTGATTAAAAAAATTACCATCCGGGATTCAATGTAAGCGAGAAAATTTAGAAATTGTCATATCGATATAGCATTGATATTTTATACAACGACCGATCTAGCGGGCAATGTAAAATATAAATTTATATTCCTAATTTGATTTGAAAATAATAATATATAAAACGAATGAAAATTTTATTTTATAAGTAGGTATAGTGTACATTTATATTTTACACTCAACAAAAAATGTCGAAAGAAGGATTTTTCTATTTCATTGTTATTTATAACGGATGTAACTCCAAGCCATTTGGATGTATACAGTCTTCCAGCTGAAGCTTTGCACCTCGGTTATACATCACCATATAGTTCATAATCATAATTTTAACGAAGTCTGAATGCGTCTGTGTTCATTAAAGTTACCCTCGGTGTACCAAGAGGTGGTTGTTATTATTTTTGGTTACACTCATTTTTACACTGTTTATCATTTGGGTAAGTGTACTCATTTTGCATAATATATCTATAGCTAACTCGGCTTAAGGTTTTTTGAAATTTTTGAAAATTAAAATCAATTGTAGTTACTCGACTATTATGACACTATTTTGTGACTAAGTTAAATACTCAGTACTCACACTTATTAACCTAAGTCATGCTCTGTTATTATCAAAATTAAAAATAATGTCATTTTTCACTATTGCCACAGTCGTTGTCATAAAAATTAAGTATACAGTTGTAAATGTCTACTGTCATCGTCATGGATCTGTCTCTTAAAAGTTGTGGCTACGGACCATAGGACGCACTAGTGTAATTCAATCAAATTTGTTGATAAGACTACAGACACACTTGGAATTTGGACCATAAATACCACACATGTCGACCCTCCTAGGTGAAATGGTACTGTCTACGGTGGTCAATCTATGTAAATATTTTTCCAGTTGTCATTTATCAAAATGCTCGGACAATACAGAATACATTTAAAAATTATTAGGGCTGCACATTTGTAAAAAAATGCATTTTTTAACTTATTGTAAGACATAGCCTTATTAACATCAAGTTTAAATAAGGTACCATTTAATTCAATTTAGAATCTCTTCTATTGCATTTTTTTGAATTTTATGAATTTTTGAATTTCTAGGGTTTTTTATGTCAATTTTTTCAACAATTTCCGTTGGTTAAAACTTTTTATGCACATAATAAAATAAGTTTCGAAACCCGGAATTTAGCACTTTCTACAAGAGAGCTCTCTAAACTCGTTTCCTTTCGACAACTAGACCAATTTGTATTTTGTAAACGTTTTATATTTTGATTTTTGAAATGTATTTTTCGGGATTTATAGTGCGCATATAATTCAAATGCGTTTTTTAAGGTTTTCTAGTGCATTTTATATTGCATTTTTTATATTTGAAATGCATTTTATTAAAGGTTTTATAACGCATTAATTCACAGCCTTAATAATCACAACAATAATTAAGGTACTATAATCGTGCGTTGCTCAAAAACGCCGCAAAAAATGTTACGAAATGCATTGTTAGCGTAGGTAGGTTAGGTTAGGTCAGGCTTACGGTTATAATGGTTTACGATTTTCCACACCACATCTAATATGTGCGATAACGACATACGCGTAGCCCTATAGCTGGAGTACATTGCCATTCATCATCATTGCTGAGCCGCACGCAACGCGTCGGTGAAGCACATATTGTGCGCGGAATGAGCATTGGTGGGCGACGGTTTATATAATGTCAAAACGATAAAATACAATAATAATTACAGCACACGCGAGTCGCCAGCACCCCGCGGCCGTCTTGGAGCATGCGTCACGTGTACGGTGACGTGAATGTATGCGCAGCGTCTGAGCATCGCGCTGCCCGGCTGGCGGCTGTTCTGGTGCGCGTCACGTGTGGGTCGGTTCACGTGGAACCGCACGGCTTACCGCGGGCGGCCGTATAAAGACTGTGCGTCCAGCGGTACGGCCATTCAGTCGTTCACTCGCATCCGGTACTCATCATCATCTGCAGCGATATACGATATAACATTTTATACCGGCATATCATCTCGCAATATCGTATAATCCGTATATTATACTTACCGCAATATTATTATACACACATAGCCGTGCGTTGCAGTGGTAAATCGAAAACCGAAAACCCATAGGGGCGCATGTCTGATAATAATAATAATAATAATATTAATATTATTTACGTAGTTGATCTTAATTATTACGGCCTACTCGCTGAAATCCGTCCGTTCCGGTAACAAGTGCAGTCATCACGTCGATCGCACCCGCTTCAGCAGACGAACGCTTCGATTGTACCTGAACCCACGCACCTGCACCTACACTGAACACGTCATGCCGAGGAACGCCGACCAGACCACCGAACCGATGGAGGAAAAGCGCGAATTTGGTTCATACATGTCCCGCAGCATGGTGATGTACGAAGACGGCGGTGGAGGCAGAGGTGACTCGAGCTCAAGCGGTAACGGCGGCAGTGACTTAGACGACGATTGCGAGAGTTGGTCCCAGGACGGCATCAGCAAAACTGGCGCCAACGGCTCTTCGTCCTCCGGCAGTGCCGACGAGGGCTGCTACAGTGGTGACGGAGACAAATCGTCGACGACCCGCAGTGGCGGCGGCAGCAGCAGTGGCAGCGGCGGCAGCAGCGACGGCAGTGGTAGCGACGGCGGCGGTGGCGGAAACAAGGGCAAGTGGTTAATATCGTTACGCACCGTAATCGACCGGATGGTCGGGAGCGAGCGCAAGGGCCGCGGCAAGAAGAGGGTCGTCAAGACCATTCTCCGACCACCGACCACTTACAAGTACGTCATCGGCATGTCCGGGTTCCCGTCCAAGGTTCCCGTCTACCCGAAAACCACCATGATGTGAACTCGATTTGCCGCCACCGTTCTATCGCCGTACCCGCAGCACCTTTGGAACCTCATCGACAACCACTGCACACATGACCACGGCGACCACCCCCGGTCGTCGCGTTTCCCGACCGCCTTCACAGCCACCGCCTCCATGATCATCACTTCCACGATCGCGTCCGTCACGATCGCCGTGGTGGTCAGCGGACGTCGAGTGCCGTTCTTCCCCTGGTATCATTTGAAAATTTCGTGACGTCGTGACGTCGTTGGTCACCGCAACACGCCGCTGCAACCACTCCAGCTACACACGGCGATTAATACCTAAATATTGGGCGCATTCATATCCGTACCACCGTAACGTCCTGATTTGAAACAAAAAGGTATATAATAATAACATTATCGACTTTAATCGATTCCGCCGAGTCTTTTGTAAATCAGTAGAAACCGGCCAATGTCCGGGATAGGAGCTTATTGGCTAACAATTATTATTAATTATGTTTTACTATTATACGTTTTCTTGTTTTTCATTGATATTAATATTAATTCATGACGTGGCGAGTTGCATTGGACTTAGTTTTTAAATGTATAATTGAAAAAAAGGTATCTATATCATCACGATTCAATATGATATCATGTATATGATGTATCTATGACAAACCGACTATACCAATACGTCTTATAGTTTTAAATATTTATATTGTATCACATAACATTTTTGAGGCTCGGCGGACTCGACATAAAATCGGTGGAATCCATGCACGTCACGAATACCGATATATTAGAATTAGATACCTCTATATATATATATATATAATGTTTAAAAATAGAACAACCTAATAGTACCCACTACCCATTATAGGTATATGTCTTATCTATACGTCGTACACTCTTACGATATATTTATTTAATTTATATTATTTATTTAAATATCATCTTACCTAACCTATAACAAAACGTATTCCCACATGTTGTTTAGACCAAAAGTGTTTTTCGATTCGTAGAGATTTTCTGGCCTACGCGTATATTCAAATGGACGGCTATTACAGCTGTGGATTAAAACAAATATTTCAAAACGGTCTACGAATTTAAATCACTTATACCATTTATTTTATGGGTACATTGCGAAAAGAAACGTTTAAAATACTATTATGAAAAACTAATTTGTTAATTTTATCGTAAAAGGCTTTCCTAAAGATGATATTTTACTTGTGATAATTATAGTAATTTAGAATAGTGTACACTATACCTACTTTAATATTTTCTATTATACAAATATTTTTTGGCCCTCGTAGTCGTATACTATTTAAAATCTAGTGTATTAGACGATATTATTAACGATAATATTATTATGTACCTATTAGGCTTAGACGATTTTCTTGGTAAGATTATATTTCCATTTTATACATACATTTAAACATTTTTAATGTGACTATATTTTAAATAGCATAGTTTGAAGTAAAAATAATAATTAATATTAAAAATATAAGAGAGATTTATAATACTGAAATATATGAAACATTATTATTAATCTTTACCCTATATAGTATATAATATATTATATAACATATTTATATAACATATTATAACTTCCATGTAACAATTACTATGCCTCTCAATTATCGTGTGATTTTAATGTGTTTCGTATGAATTAATTAGATGTCGATAGAAATGTAACAATAAAAATAAATACTATGATGTGAAATTACTGTTTTAAATTTTTTGAAATTAGGTCCTGAATCTGGTTTTGGTTTATTTATAATTTTAGTCCACGTGCACGGTAATCTTATTCATAGGTATCCTTAGGTGATAGGTATACCTACTTGAGAATAAAAACCGATCGTTATAAATTATAATATGATGAATTATAACATAATAATATATTCCATAAATTAGACATTGGTTTTTATTTCTAGTGGTGATTTAGACGATATTATCTTTGAATACATATCATAGATTATTGATAATGTTTACGTGTTTATTGATATAAATTCATTTTACAGTGAATTCAACGTCATTTTAAATTTTGTGATAATAAATGTTTTTTTTTTAAAAAAAAAACCACATGGTCGGACATTCAGTACATGACGAGGATTGCAGCGACCAATGGACTATTGCAGGACGATAATAGTATTAGTAATTTGAAAGGTTAGTATAGAGTATAGAATGGAGTATAGACATAATATAATAATGTGGTTCGTTTGATCACCTAATCAGATTTCCATAACCATAATACGTTTATTATAATATAGTTTGGTAATTTCTGAATATTAATGAAATGTCGGAGATTGATGACTATTACTTATAACTAGTTCACGGATTTATGAGTGTGAAATTGTATTATTTTTATGATTTTAACTGTATATTATATTAATTGTTGAACATATTTTAGCGACTCATAAACATGACATACATTCCACAGGTACGAATTTTTGAAATAATGATATAAAATAATGATCGATGTACAAAACGTTGATACAAGAGTTTCAGATAATCCTAGCTCCAGCTAGTCATAATATAATCTGATGATATTGGTTTCATGAATCAAACATTCTATCATTCGTAAAAAGCAAACATCTTTAATGGTTTGGAAACGTTTATAGTTTTGCCAAATGGGTGTTAAATTCATAAAAACGGTATTTGGAAATTATATATTTAAAAAAAACTAAACATTGGACAGATTATTGGGGTGGATAATGTCCTCCGAGATTTAGCAGACGTTGAGGACAACTGTTTGTTTAATCAAGACATTTTAATTTATATATTAATTTTGCGGTAAAAGTACGAAATTTATCTGTCAATCCTACACTCAAAAAAATTAATACTTCTTTATGAAAAATGTATGTTGTTAATTATTAACATTGAGTTATTTGTCCACGTAACACAGAAGTTATTAATTCAAACCTAAATGTTCGTATTGATAAAAAAATTCATCCAACAAATAATAATTTATCAAACCGGGCATGAACAGTGGTACATGAATTAACAATGTATTTTTATTTTGAAAAATATTATTTTGTCATATTAATAAGTATATT